AAGAATGGAGAAGAGGTCTTCTCTGTTCCAAAGGCCATACATTTGAATGATTAGAACAACAGAACTTTTCTAAGGATTTTCCATTTAAGAGTTATTTTCGGCATGGTTTTCTATTCATCGGATTTCTGAAGAAATAAAAGAAATGTAATAAAACACTAGTTCAGGGGAATAAGGCTTGGCAACAGAGTATTTTATACTGTTCTGCTTGTTGAGATGGTCACTAATCTGTTCAACAATTCCCATTAAATTGCACAGAGGAAAAAAGGGCAAAGGGATTAAGAAGTACAAATGGATAGTTACAAAATAGACATGGAGATATAAAGTGTAGCATAAGGAAAATAATGTAATAAATATGTAAGGGGAAAAAGGGATACTAGATTTAGTGGGGTGATCACTTTGTGTGTTATGTGGATCTCTAATCACTATGCTTACAACTGAAACGTATGTTATTGTATGCCAACTATAATTGAAAAAACTCATTCAATTGTAAAATGTAAATACAAGCAACTAATTGTCTATTAAATTTCAATAAAGATGAAAAAAATTCCACAGAGAAGGAATCTGTTATGTGCATATCCAAATAAAGGATGTTTTCCCATAGTAATCATTTTAGACTTTTAGCATGGCAACTGTTAAGTTTATGTGGGTATAACTGATAACTGAACTGAAATGGTTTGCTGACGGCACTGGATAAACCAAGTCTTGAAAGTTTTGTTATAAATAGGCTCTTTATGAAACCAGTTTTCTGTGTGTGAAGACTTCATAAAACAATTCCTTAGATAGCTCTATATCTTTAAAGGACTAGACTTATACCCAGTAAATCAATCTAGAAGAATTAAAAACTCTTCAATTCTTAGGCTAAGGACAACTAACTAAAGAACCTTATATTTGTTGATTATTTCACTAATCGACTCATTAAATATTATCAATATTTCTGTAGAAACTTATCTTTTTTCAAAATATTTTTTATTTTTATGGTTGTCATACAATATTATATTAGTTTTGGGTATACAACATAGTGATTAGACATTTATATAACTTACAAAGTGATCACCTTGAAAATACCCAGCTGAAGATGTACACAGTTATTACAATATTATTGACTATATTCTTTATGCTATAATTTACACACTCATGACTATTTTGTAACTACCAATATGTATTTCTTAATCACTACCCCTCTTTCACTTCCTCAAGCCCCCTCCTGTCTGGCAACCCTCAAAATGTTCTCTGTTTCTACGAGTTTGTTTCTGTTTTGTTTATTTTGTTTTCTGATTCTACATGTAAGTGAAATCATATAGTATTTGTCTTTCTCTTACTCTATGCAGCACAATACCCTCTAGGTTCATCCACATATTGCAGATGGCAAGGTTTCATTCATTTTTCACTTATTAATTAATTAATTAATTAATTGATTGATTTTTATTTATTTTTATGACTGAGTAGTATTCCAATATGTGTATGTATATACGTACCCACATGTATCACTTGTTTATCCATTCATCCATTAATGGACACTCAGGTTGCCTCCATATCTTGGCTATTGTAAATAATGCTGCCATGAACACATGATTTACATGTCTCTTCAAGGTAGTATTTTGGGTTTCTTCAGTTAAATACCCAGAAGTGGAATTACTGGGTCCTTCTGTGTCTCTTTTTAAAGCTTTTCTTTTAAAGTCTATTTTGTCTGGTATAAGTATTGTTATCCCAGATCTTTTTTTCATTTCCATTTTCATGAATATCTTTTTTATCCCTTGACTTCCAGTCTGTAAGTATCTTTCAGTCTAAAGTGAGTCTCTTGTAGGCATAATATTTTGTTTAAAAGTTCTTATCATATAAAATCATCAGTTATTACTAAATTATCAGTTTAGTGTCAGTTTGATATGCACTGTAACTTTTTTTTTATAGGCAATCTTTAGTTTTCTAATGACTTAATTCTCACAAAGAGATTTTTCTCCTTTATATGCTAGGGAGTGCTGGCAATAAGTTCCACTAAATATGGAAGAAACTTGTGTCTAGCTTCTTTCACTTAGTTAATAGTTTTGAGTTTCATACCTGCTGTTGCATACATTGATAGCCTGTTCTTTTGTATTGCTGAATAGTATTCTACTGTAATAATATACCACAATTTGTTTTTCTATTTACCAATTAATGGACATTTCAGCTTTTTACAAATTTTAGTGTTTATTAATTAAGCTTTTATAAGTATTCACATATACATATTTGCATAGACATATGTTTTTATTTTTCTTAAATAGTTCTGGGATATATAGTTAGTATATGCATAACTTCATAAAAAACTGCTAAACTGTTTTCAAAGTGGCTACACCATATTCCATTCCTACCAGCAATGTCTGGGAACTTTAGTTGCTCTAAACCCTTGCCAGCCCTTAATGTTAATTGATTATTTATTTGTTTATATACTTATTTTTAATGTTAGCCATTCGAATAGGTCCCGATTCACTCTTATTTCTTTATAATGATATTCTAGTCAGCTTTTTGGTCTATTTTTCTCCTGTTAGACTGATAGTTTGGCCCAGTGTTTTTATTTAGTCATGAATATTTGCTTATGTGAAATCAGGTTCTCCATCAAGTGGAGCACAGCTAGGAGTCATGTGATTTGAATTGTCTTTTGTCGGCAGATTGAGTTGGTTAGAACAAGATACTAGTGACTTTTCAGGATTAATAAAATTAAGTCTGTTTCACTGCAGAGACTTCTCCCATATTCCATAAAACTGTTTCATATGAGAGTGCTTCCTAACAAATAACTCTCTCAAAAAAAAAAAAAAAAAAAGAAAGAAAATTTATCATCGGCAAAGAAAAACCCTAAACTGAGTGCTCAGTTATTACCCAAACAACTCCCTAGGAAGCGAGCAGAGGAGTCAAGCTGAACAGCAGGTTAAAAGGCTTTTAATTAAAGTGCCACCTTCACCATAAAACAACTACAAAAAGCCATCAATGTAACATTTGGTAAAAGTTGATGATGTCCTATTTCTTAGTGTGGAATTACTTTTCTCTTGTCATTAACTTAATTTGATTGTACTAGTTTGTCAGCTCTTATGTTTGGGTTCTGTCAGTTGCAAAATATAGATAATGATCCTATGCAATTTAACAATCACATGCCTACAGCTTATCTCTTCTAAACAAGATAAACTAAGAATTATATTTTCCCCCTATAACTTTGGAATAATAAGAAAGTTCAAGGTTTTTTTGTACGTCTTGTATTTTACAGGTGGCTTGTCTAATATCTTGCATTTTCGTCCTGATGGTCATTTATGCAATAGGACCTTTGCTTTACTGGCTGCCCATGGTACAGTAATCCATTTTCATGATCTACTTTTTAAATTTACTTTAAATGAGAATTATTGTGTATTAACATTTCTTAAAAGAGTAACTTCAATGATCCTAATGTGTCACCCATTAATGATTCATGTGTCATTCATGTGACAAAATTAATGAGTTAATGAAGGAGAAATGGAAAAAGATGGCATTTGATAGGCGAAGAATGCGAGGGTACCATGACTATTTTCTAATTATTAGGCTCTTGTATAAAAATAGCATAGTGGAATTCAATTTATTCTGTGGTCATTTAAAGAGAAAAATTTTATCAGAACTTGAGCTGTTAAAAAATGTGTAGTGGGCAAGAGAGTAGGGAACAGAATGCATCTTGCCACCTTTAGCATATCTTTATAAAAAGTGACTCAGAACACTAGTACCAGTGGTTCACCTTGCCTTTAATAAGTCTGAGGCATGAAAGTTACACAAGTAAGATCCTGGTCTTCATAGAGCCAGAGACAGTTTCAGCCCTTCTTGTTCTAATTCTTCATTTATATAGTGAGATTAAATCATTTCCACTAGAGGATCTTTCAATAATTAAGTTTACTTTTCAAGAGAGTTATAAATACCTTCAGGTGAAACCATATAATTGATACTTAAGACAATTGTAAAGAAATACATGATATATTTAATTTCTGCAACCAACAAACTTCAAACAAATGGTTATAAATAATTATTATAAAGTTAAGAGGACATATAGCAATCATTATGACATTCATCCTTATCATTTATTTCTTTTTCCTTCTTCCTAATTTTTTAGAATGACACAAATTCTACCCTGTGATTTTCTAGAATTGTCATTATATTCCTGAAATAGGTTAGTCCTAAACAAAATAAATATTATTTTATTCTTCTAAATGGTGATTGCTTTTCTCTAGTAAGTATTTTAAAAACAAATGAATAAAAATAACTTTAGTCTTTTAAATTTAGATTAAAATCTTTATATTGTTTGTTCATCAACTTATTTCTTATTTGTAGTGTGTTCTTGCAAGTATTATTGTCGTGGGACTGAAGGGAATGTTAATACAGTTTCGGGATTTAAAAAAATATTGGAATGTGGATAAAATCGATTGGGTAAGTAGAAATTTGACCTAAAATTTTCCTCTTTGGCTTAAACACATGTTATAAAATAACTTTTAATACTTCAGTTTTAAGAAAATAAGTTTTAATCATTTGAGACTTGTATACTTTATGAACTACCATTTACTTTTTCAAAATCCTAATAAAAACATTAAAATATAAAATGTCTTTTTTCTTATATGGCATGGAATTTTGTCAAATTTTGATTGACGTGTTGTTTGAGAACTTTTAAAGAAATGCTAACTAACATGAGTGGATTGGGGGTTCCTAATTTTTTCTATGAATTGATTTTAACAGTGAAGCTAATCAAAGAAATGTAGACTAATAGAAATGTTACCATTTATAACATGTATGAAAAACCAGCATTAATTGCTAAGATATATGTACTACATTGATATGGGGTGAACATATTAATAGTGATCATATTCATTCTAAATATAAAAAGTCTCATGAACTGTGTTTTAAATGGGTTACATTGAGAGGATCGTTATGTTAATAGGATATTGCCAGCAACAGATTAAATTATACTGAAGAATGATAAAGTGTGGCTTCTACTAACAGAAATGCTTAACCTACTTATCCTAGAGAAAAGCCTCTATGCACGAACATCCAGAATTCTTTACCTCTTCACTATGAGTGAAGTATTTCATGAGTACCCTCTGTTTGGCTCTACTATGAAGCTCACCATTATGGAAATAAAATTTTCTATGTATTTCTTCTCCTTCAGATTTTTTTGCTCTGAGACTTTGGAGGATTCTTTATGCTGGTGCCTACTTTCATATTCCTTCTAAGGCTTAAAATTACTTAGCTCCTACCAAAGTATAATGTGGGGTGCCATGGGTAATACAAAGATGAATAAAGAACTACTTACCCACTCTTGATATTTATGTTTGTGCAGGAAGCAGACACTTATGCAAAGCATACTACAACATGAACTAGAAGCAGAAGTATAAGCTTAGTGATGGGGGGAATTAGAGACTGGGACATTTAATTTGGACTGGGTTAATGTGAAAGACTCTCACAACAGAGCTGAAATGTGACTTGAAGGAACAATATTTTTTAGACAGGCCAAGAGGCCAAAATTAGCCAGGCTACTAGAGGATTGTGACTTTTTAAAGGTGATGTATGTGAGGTAGCACATGGAAATAGATGCACATTTAATCAATAAGCTATTTGATAATCCTATAATAAAGGTGTTTCTAAGAAACTCAGTAATCACCTAAGAGAGAGCACATTACCATATATGAAGTGGAGAGGTGTCACCAGAGGTTTCTTCCAGGAAATTATGGGTAGAACATATAGTATGAGGGTGGTAGTAAAAACAGACAGGGTTGAAAAAGTTAAGAATGGGTTGGACTAGAAAAGGTTGCTATGTCCTACAGAGAAGACTAGACTTCATCTTGAAGGCAGCGAGGTATCACTGAAAGGGGAAATAGAGATATGATTTATGTATTGGGAAGATTACTTAAGTAATTTGAGGAAGATGGATCAAACTGATAAAGTATGCAGCAGTTGGAGCACTGCTTTAGTAATTCGGGCAAACAAATGAGGAAGACCTGAACCAAAACTGAAATCGTGAGATTCAAGAGGAGGAAGTAGATTTGAAAAACATTAAAAATGTTCCATTATTTAGCCCTCACCACCAATTCATCATATAAAGTGCAGCAGTCTAGAATGACTTCTAAGTTTTTAGTTAGGAGCATCGCTGGAGGAAGATGACATCATTCACTGAGTTATAGAACATGGAATACTGTTTAAATGCATTTAGTGGTTACCTTTAGTCTTTTTTTTTTTTTTTTTACATAGGTTCTCATTCCCGAGTTATTTCCATTCATCACTTTGTTTTCTGTATGTCATCACCAAAGAGGCTTATGTAGTTTATACTCCCTGAGCATGGTGAAAACAGCCACCTGTTTTCTTCTTATACTAGAAGAAAGTCTCTGACTGAGTCTAAAATGTTTCCCTCAGGACTTTTTAGACTTGATATTACATTTAGGCATTGAAAGATAAGGCAGAGAAATCACATATCAACATGATATCTTTTTACTTTATGTGAGTTTGTTTTTCTAAAGAGATGTTCAAGAAGTTCTTTCTTACCTATGAAGTTTGGTATTAATAAGAATATTTCTTTTAGTTGAATACCCAGTATCAAATTTCTATGAAAGTGACATATCATCTTGATCTCAGAATCAATAATTACATAGAAAATTTTTTTCCAAATAAATCTTTAAATATTTTTCAAATCTACTTGTTCTGTCCTGTTAATGAATTATGTATTTGTCAATTTTATTATTTTTCTTCATATATATAATTTTCCCATGATTAGTGTGTGTGTGTGTGTGTGTGTGTGTGTGTGTGTGTGTGTGGTTTCTCTGGACTTTTCACTGTATTTCTGATTATGTATTTCTGGCTATGAAAATCCCATTTTTAGCTTTAAATTTGGGTTTTATCTCTGTAACGTTTTTTTAAATTAATTAATTTTAATTAGTTTCAAATATACAGTACATGTTTTTTAAATTTATTTATTTATTTTAATTAGTTTCAAATTTATATAGTTTATAAAACTATCCCCCTAATTGCTCCTTCTTTCCTCTGGTTTTCCACCTAGCCAATATATTAATGCTAACTACATTCCCTATGCCATGCTCCCCATCCCCGTGACCATCTCTCAACCTCTAATTTGTACTTCTTTAACCCTTCGCCGCATTCTCCCAGCCCCCAACCCTCTCCTCTCTGTCCATCACCAAATAGTCCACTATATTTGTGTTCATTTATGATTAGTTTGTTCTTTTTGTTCCTTAGATTCCGCATATAAGTGAAACTATATGGCATTTATCTTTCTCTGTCTGACTTATTTCACTGAGCATAATAACCTCTAGGTCCATCCATGTCATTGTGAATGGTAAGATTTAATTTTTTTAACGGCTGAGTACTATTCCATTGTATATATAAACTATAACTTCTTTATATAATCATCTGCTGATGAGCATTTAGGTTGCTTCCATATCTTGGCTATTTGTAAATTGTACTGCCATGAATATTGGGGTGCATAGATTGTTACAAATTATTCTTTTGGTTTTTCTTGGATAAATACCCAGAAGGGCAATTGCTGGGTCAAAAGGTATATCCATTTTTAATTTGTTGAGAAACTCCATATTGTTTTCCATAGCAGCTGCACTAATTTGGAATTCCACAAACAATGTATGAGGGTTCCCTTTTCTCCGCATCTTCTCCAATGCATTTTGTTTTTTTATTTATTGATGATAGCCGTTCTGACAGGTGTGAGGTGATACCTCATTGTGATTTTAATTTGCATTTCTCTGATGATTAGTGACCTTGAGCATCTTTTCATATGTCTATTAGCCATCTGTATTTTCTCTTTGAAGAAGTATCCGTTCAGGTCTTCTGACCATTTTTTAAATTGGATTGTTTGATTTTTTTGTTCTTGAGTTGTATGAGTTCTTTATATATTTTGGATATTAACCTCTTACCAGATGTATCATAAGCAAATATTTTCTTCCAATTAGTAAGCTATCTTTTAGTTTTGTTGATGGTTTCCTTTGCTGTACGAAAACTTTTTAGTTTGATGCAGTCCCATTTGTTTATTTATTCTTTTGTTTCTCTTGCCCAGGAAGATAAATCCCCTCCCCCCCCCAAAAAATTACTGTTAGTAATATCAGAGAGTTTACTGTTTATATTTTCTTCTAGAAGTTTTATGGTTTGTAGTCTTACACTTAAGTCTTTAATTTATTTTGAGTCTATTCCCGTATACTGTGTAAGAAGGTGGTCCAGTTTCTTTTTTTTGCATGTATCTGTCCAATTTTCCCAACATCATTTATCGAAGAGACTGTCTTTACCCCATTGTATATTCTTTCCTCTTTTGTCATATATTAAGTGAGTGTATAGACGAAGATTGATTTCTGAGCTCTCTAATCTATTCCATTGATCAATGTATCTCTTTTTATGCCAGAACCATCAGTTTTGATTATTGTAGCCTTATAGTATAGTTTGATATAAGGTAGTGTGATACCTCCAACTTTGTTCTTATTTATCGAGATTGCTGTGCTATTCAGGATCATCTATAGTTCCATGTAAATTTTAGGATTATTTGTTCTAGCTCTCTGAAAAATGCCATTGGTATTTTGATAGGGATTGCAATGAATCATAGATTGCTTTGAGTAGTATGGCCATTTTAATGATGTTGATTCCTCCTACCATGAGAACAGTTTATGCTTCCATTTATTTGTATCTTTCTCAATTTCTTTTTCAATGACTTATAATTTTCTCAGAACAGGTCTTTTACCTCCTTGGTGAATTTGATTTCCTGGTGTTTTATAGTTTTTCTATGCAATTGTAAATGGGATTGTTTTCTTAATTTCTATTCCCAAAAGTTCATCACTGATGTATAAAAATGCTACTGACTTCTGAATATTTATTGCTACGTTACTGAATTCATTGATCAGTTCTAACAGTTTTTTGGTGGAATCTTTAGGGTTCTCTCTATATAGTATCATGTCATCAGCAGATAACGAAACCTTTATTTCTTTCTAATTCGGATATCTTTTATTTCTCTGTCTTGTCTGATAGCTGTGGCTAAGACTTCCAATACAATGTTAAAAAGGAGTGGTGAAAGTGGGCATCCTTATCTTGTTCCTGATCTTAAAGAAAATGCCTTTAGTTTTTCTCCATTGAATATGATGTTAGCTGTAGGTTTGTCGTATATGGCCTTTATTATTTTGAGGTATATCCCCTCTATTCCCACTTTGCTGAGAGTTTTTATCATAAATGTATTCTGGATTTTGTTGAATGCTTTTTCTGCATCTATTGATATGATCATATGGTTTTTATTTTTTGATTTGTTAATGTGGTGTATCTCATGAATTAATTTGTGGATGTTGTACCAACCTTGCTTCCCAGGAATAAATCCAACTTGATCATGATGTATGATATTTTTAATGTATTGCTGAATTCAGATTGCTTATATTCTGTTGAGG